GGGGGGAGGCGGGTGAGGGGTATGAAAGAGGGGGCACGTGACTGGAGTACGCATATCCTTGGCCCTCCACTCAGCTGCACCCCTGGAGGCACCCCCCCTCCCCCCGGGGATAAGAGGGGCCAGGGGCAGCGTACCTTGGCCGGCGGAGCACCCGCACAGCGAGAGCGCACTCCCCTCCCGCACCGTAATCTTGAATACATATAAATGTAGCCATCATAAAGACAGAATTGATATTTTATTCCTTCTTTTTGACCGGTAAAAAAATTCTGGACGGGGGAATGTAAGAAATGGATATTAAATTAGCCTTCACGGGTTCATCGATGGGCATTCCCTCTTCTTTTCCCCGCTGGCTCAAATCCCGGACGCTTCGCCTTCTTGTCAACCGACGCCGCCCTCCCCGGCTACTACTGGCAACCCCCGGCCTGGCCGCTCCTCTCCAACTTCCCCCTTTCTTCCCTTCTCCATTGTGTAGATCATCATTGGCCGATGGTATCTGTCTCCTCCAGCCGAGTGTCGCCCGGCCCGGGCCGCCCCCCCCTCCCATCCCCGCTCGTCTCCGTCCACGACGTGGCTAAATGCCCATTGATCGGCTCGCTCTGATATAATCACCCGTGATATGCTCGCGATATACTGTGCGCGAGCGCCCCCTCCGCACTTACCACCCCCTCCCCTCCCACCCCTCCTCCTCCCTCCTCGTTCTCGTGCTCGTCTCTCGTATCGCGTCCGCCGCCACTCAGCGGGGCACGGCACGACGGGGACGACGGGGGATGTGCACGAGGTAAACGCAGGCGTCGTGGAGCCTGAGCTGTACCTGCCCAGCGAGTAAAGAGTATATACGTCAGGAGTGGCTGGAGTGGCCCAAGTGTATGAGGAAGTTGCCCGATAAGAGGAACAAAAAGAAGGTAGCACTGAGGAGGTGGCGTGGCGTAGCGCCGTCCCTAAACAAAGCAGAACGCCGGCGGCCATACTGTGTTTTGTCGCAAGTGGATGTGTGATCATGAATCAAGTTTTGTAGAATTTGTAAAGAAAAATTGGGTCGATACCAGACCGGCATAACAATCTTGTGTGAAAAAGTGCCTCTGCAAAGTTTGGCTTCGGAAAAGTAAGTTTATACAATCCTCTAAACCGTCCCGGTGTCGTTGTTTAGGTTAGTGTACGGACATATTGCATTGG